TTTTAGTAATATGTACATCAAACTTGAGATGAGAATCCAACCATACTCCAAGGTCTTTCACATTGCTAACAGGAGTAACACGCATGTCGCCAACCAATAACTGGTCAACTGTGACTTTCTTCAGCTGTTGACGAGTCCCAATAATCATGAATTCTGTTTTTCCTTTGTTCAGCTTCAATTTATCAGTTACCATCCATGCTCTTACAGCTTTGATACATTTCTCCATAGCTTCCATCGCATCTTCTTGACATTGTGTGGTTTCAGGTTTGAATGCTAGATAAAGCTTGGTATCATCAGCATGAGCATTTGGTAGGTGATGTTTTACCACTTCAAAGAGTTTGCTAGCATAAATGGTAAACAATAATGGGCCTAGACATGATCCCTGTGGAACACCGTAAGGTATGTTAAGGCTTTCCGATGTACTTTCGTCAATAATGACACGTATAGAGCGGCCAGATAGATATGATTTTAACCACAGTAAAGCAGTGTCTGTTATTCCAAAACTTGTTTGTATACGATTAATCAAAATATCATGGTCAACAGTATCAAACGCGGAGCTCAAATCCAGAAATACTAATAACGTTACCTGTTGATTGTTCATGTTAACGTGGATATCGTTTATAACTTTAAGGAGCGCCGTTTCTGTGCCATGGTGTTTCCTGTAAGCAGACTGTAGTGGGGGAAACACGTGCACATTATTAGCCAAAATATGGTTATAGATTTGATCAGATGCTGCTTTCTCGGTGATTTTGGAAACAAATTGCAGATTACTTATAGGTCTCAAGTTCTTGTATTCCATATCTTCGCATCCTTTCTGGAACAGCGGACTGACAAGAGCTTCTTTCCATGCATTTGGGAAATGACCTGTTGTTAATGACACATTAACCATTTTGGTGATAAAAGGGAGCAAAACATCCAGACAATCAATAATTAATGAAGTAGGCATTGGATCCGATTTACATGTTTTTTTAGCTGATTTTCGAATCAGAGTAGAAACATCTTTCTCATCTAGTACTTGAAAAGATTCCATGACCTGTATTTCATCATCTATTTGCAGATTAGTTGGAACCAGTGCTCTATCTATCTCATAAAGACATCAACATCAGTTGAGTCAGTTTCAGCACGAACCTTGATAATCTTATGAACAAAAAATTTACCAATGTCATTCACAAGAATGTTTCTGTCCATTTGTTTAGGAAAAGACACATTGTTATTCTTTTAATGCAAGTAGTTTATTGGCTGCTCTAAATAGGTTGCTACTATTTTCGTTCACAAATTCGGTATAAAAATCCCGTCTAGCTTTATTTATAAGATGGGTAACATAATTCTTTAATCTTTTGAACATTACAAGATCTTCTGCTCGACGTGATTTCCGCCATTTCCTTTCAGCTTTTCTACGCTTTTTCCTTGCATCATCAATCTCATTATTATACCAAGGCATGGTAGGTCTTGCAGTTTTAGTAGTGGACTTTAGAGTAGCATGATCATTCAAGAGCGCTGATAGCGTTTTATTGTACACATGCATGTGCTAAGGCATCCGTATCCGCAATAGTATCATCAATATTTTCTGAAGTCAGATTCAGTGCAGATTCTTTGATATCATTTTTAAGACGATGAATGTCAATAGTTTTTACTTTACGATAAGAGATATTCTTAACTGAAAACTGCGTTCTAGGTGAAATCAGTTGACATATAATGCAAGCATGGTCAGATATGAATCGTTCAATACGTGGAGGTTTGGCTAAAAGTTCTTCAGAGGTACGGGTAATAACAAAATCTAATATGTTGCCATGAAGATGTGTAGAATTTGTAACATGTTGCTGAAGATTGCATATTCAGTTGTATAATTATTGTCTGAAATACTCTAGAATACTCTATAATCCTAGAAAATTTGTTAAAAATGTTATAAATATACAACTAATCTAAGATTAAAGGAGAGTTGTATGTTTGGGCCGACCGGGTGTGGTGATACCCACCTGGGTCACTCATTATATATAGTATATACTAAATGTCTTTCATATGAATGAGATATTTCCTAACAGGTTGCATGAGACGGTTATATAGACCACAACCGCTGGGGTAGAGCTGAGACCATGGCAATGAAACGGTCAGCATTCAAGATATCTAAATATTCAACTGGTTCAGACCTCGCAGCTGAAAGTGCAGCAGCAATGCATGGCGGCTGGATCCTTAACATTCCGTACAATCAATCAGATACTTGTACTCACAAACACTTCTTAAACATGCTAAAGAGCTGTATGAATTTGCTGAGAATAATCTGGGATTGTATTAGAACTCAATTCGAAATGCTGCAGGATTTTACAAGTCTCGCTCGTTTAAAGATGAACTTGCTTGAGGAGCTCCATGACTTTGTAAAGCAACAAGTTATTATAAATATTTACAAAAAGCAGAAAGATATTTCGTTAAGTTCGGCTTGTCCAAACCTGGGTGGGGTTTTTCCTGGGACGAGAAAGCAGGCGGTGTACAACTTCTGCTGTACCAACTGACCAAAAAGATGTGTATAAAAAAGCTGTCAAGGCAACGCTCAAGCTATCAACGCTCAACCTTTGGTTATCTGGCAGTGGCATCACATATACACCGAATCGTCATTCAGTAAACACTGCGTTCCTGATGCATTAGAGAGTTTAAGCTTCGCGTTATACGTCAAACGGCAGGCAAAGAAAAATTTTACGGTATCAGGCAATAAAGAGTAAATGAACTTGCTGTTTTAAAACTGAAATACATAATTATTCTTTCGACGCAAGAAAGAAAATATGAAACGAAAACGTTCAACGGAAATTTTGCCAAGAAAGTTCGAACCTGCCGTTTGCCGTTCCCGGAAACGTGAAGCTTATAAACTCCCTATTATCTGCCGATAGTAGCTTGAACTCTGGAGAATATTGCAAGTTTGCAAAGAAACAAATACACTATATATTTGGTATATGCATTGATTATTTCATGTGACTTCACGTTCTATATCGCTTGAAGGGACAAAAGGGACGAGCCCCTTTAAAACCCATACTCCCCTACCCCCAGTGAAAGGACCACCCTATCTATTTTAGATTTCATCTCGACAACCAGTTGTCCATCAACCCCATGCAGGAATTCTTTTTAAAATACACAGAAAGGCTCGCTTATACCCGGCTACAATCACAACAACGCCCGTAATCACCGTCCTCCACCGCTTAGCATGTCGAACATGTTTTTGCGCATTATGAAAACCATATTGTTGAAGCGCTTTTCAACTATACCACTATACTGAAGCGACTTGTCGAAAAGATTCAGAAAACATGTTATTCAACACACTGTTTAACAACCACGATACACTACTGTTTTCCAGTGCATGTTGATAGTATAATTGAAAATATTGCTCATTATAAACACCGTTGTTCAACTTTGATATCACACTGTTTTATTGCAATACTGTATTGTCAAAAATATTTTTAACAGCCAGTTTCATTCTTTGCTTATACTGTAATCCACAGTAAAACCATACCTTTCATGCCTGAGATCGGAGGTTCAATTCACATTCATTGTTTCAGAAATTTATACGTGCATCGATGAACGCTCCGCTGAAAGTTACCTTCCGCATGGATTGTTGACATGGTGGTGTATGGGATACATGTTGAAGTAGATTCATGACTCTATGAGCGTGAGCTGCAAATAAATATTATTATTACACATTACCTATACAATCTCCGTTTTGATTGGCTGCTGGCCAATACAAATAATTCTTGATATTGTGTAATTATGACATCCTGACATCCCATCTACAGATAATCGGTTTCTATTGGGGTTGGTCGCATTTTAATTAATAATTCTACTGTATTCGCATGAACAGCGTTTCTGCACATCAGAATAGACTTTCCAACCAATAAACATATCCAGATTAGTAAAGTAGCCTCTACCCATGTTCTCATAGTTTGCACCCTGCGAGTGTTTCAGAGCTCGTCAATCATGAATTACGACGTTAGCTGGGTCTATGGATTTTTTGTCTTTATACTTTTATGGGATAAAACTTAAATATCAAATGCAAATTGCCGTTAGTAATTTATATAGTTAATCTACTATTATTGAAATGCTAAAAAAATTCATTCAACGAAACTGGAACTTGTTTATAGAAGCACTGTGGAGCCATCATATGCTTAAGTATGCGAAAACTATTTTAATTCCACTTCCTTTTCTGGTTCTCATTATCAAACCCACCTAGATTTTTTTGAACGGTCTGTGCCATTGTAGGTAGAGCCAATAATAAGAAAGCTTCGGATTGATAGAGATACAACTTCGATGTTTCGAGCAACGAAGGGCCTTTGCTCGAAGTTCTCCTTGTATATTTCAAGTAGCTGTATCCCTGTCAATCCGAAACTTTCACATTATATAGATTAACGTCTGAATTGGCTTGTAAAATTATAGCCACATTATATCATGATTAAACCTCGGAATAATTTCCCGAATATTTAACCCTACTATAAAGAAAACCCATTGGAAGATTTAAAAATATATCTTCAATTACCTATGGTTCATGTTCAACAGTAGGACCCAGTCTGTGCTCTTTTGTAAGCTGTAGGGTTCGTATCGAAGATCGAGGATGCTGTTCGAAAATTAACACCTCAAATAAAAAGAATATTAAAGAATCATCCTTAGATATGAAATATCTTAATTTTCCTATTAATATCTTACACTGAAGAGAACAACGAAACATTCCTCGCATCCAGAGGGATTCAATTCACTCTGAATTCTGGCCATTGACGGATTTTCACATTTTGCTCAGGGGAGTGCACAAAATTTTGGGTAGAGGGGGGGAGGTGAGCGACGGGGTGCGCCGAACAAGCTGCAGCAGGGGTCTGGGGGTACAGTTGCTAATGAGGGTAAGGGGGGGGGGCGAAGAACCCAAGAAAATTTGAGATTTTTAGTCTTACTTTGTTCATAATCCTTATTTCAATCACACTATACTGTCATTTAATCCAATGAGCATTTAAATTTCTGGGGGGGATGGGGTGAAAATATCTCTAGGTGGTGTGGGAAAACGTTCTGGCGGGGGTGCAAAATTTTTTTGGGGGGTGGGGTGCGCACCCCCTGCACCATCTATGGCTCTGGTATGCATGTACTCCATTTAGCCCATGGAAATGCTTAGCTTCAATTAAGACTATCATTTCAACTATCCAAAGCATAAATGAAATAACTGGACTAGAAATTTACACTTACTGTATTCTTGCCTTCCTTTAGCCAAGGTGCTGGAACATATAGTGTTTTTTGCGGACCAATTTTCCAATATCTACCAAGATTATGGCCATTTATAAAAGCAACACCTTTATGCCAACCCTGAAGAAAGAAAATTATTTATATCCTTAATTGAGTTGGTCGCTTTCCCAGCAAAGTAGGTCAAATATTTTTACTGGATGCATTGTTTCCCAGGGCTCTTTTAAAAGACGAGGGGTGGGAAGTCCCCAAGCTTCCATGTTGGCCCCTCCAGTAAACTGTGTTGCCCCCTCCCCCCTAGTGAAAGTCCCTTCTGTCTAAAATATAAACAAAAAAGGGAAGCATTTTCCGGGCAACCTCGTCCCCAGGGCATTTTGCCTCCACGGCTGAAGGTCGGCGAAAATGGCCCTGGGATCGGCAGGTCAAATGACACCCAGAATTTCTGGGTGTTTTGATACGATAATTTATGTGAAATTAATCTTCGTTGTTTGTTTACGAATAATAAATGTGAAGTAATCAACCATTTGCCAACTTATTCACCCAAAGACGTTATTTTAAGAGCGGTATCCTTGCATAATTCTTCCTATATCCGTGAGTCTGACAAATACATAGTACAGCAAGTATAGGACGTAAGTGAATCTTAACGTATACTCTCGGTATTTTCTTAAGTTTGCCGTATACAGACAAAAAATTTTAAAGCACCACAATTGTTTGAATAAATTATACTGTAGAGGAATTAATGCGTTTTTGAACAGACCAATGGGATTGTAGAATTGATCAGCCGATCCAAGGGCCATTTTTGCCGACCTTCAGCCGTGGAGGCAAAATGTCCTGGGGACGTGGTTGATTCTCCGGGGTGGACCCCAAACCCTCTTACAAGTTGGCATTTTTCTAGTTCACCACCTCCAATGTTTCAAATGGTGGTCAAACTTGGGAAATTTTCCAATGGTTTCCAATTTTTCGAACGTTTAAATAAAAAAGCTGTTAGTAAACTGCGCTGTTCAACCTTTTTAATTAGAATTAATAAACCAAAGCGATATTTGAATATTGACCGTATTTGATCCACAGAAATGCGGCACTATAGTATAAGATTGGTGTATCCTTTCTAAATTCCACTGCCGTTGTCGCAATGATTTTACGGCAATTGCTAGATAGTATACTTCAAAATAAGGTTTCCGTTTTTATATCAATTTTTAAAGTAAGTTAGAGTTCGGTTAGAGTTAGGTTAGGTTAGGATCAGGTTAGGGTTAGTATTAGAGTTTAGTTTTGCGTTAGGATAGTTTTTTCTACGTTATAAAAACGGAAACCTTATTTTGAAGTATACTATCTAGCGATCACCATGATTTTACATAGCTTACCCCAGTGAACTCTATGGATATATCTGGAGTAAGAACTTCAGTCATTCGGCCTATGAGAAAAGTGAAGTCAAGATGGCGGAAATTGACGACCAATAGCTATGGCGGTCGTAAACAGTATTAATACCATTTTTCCCAGCTAATTCTAGTTTCTTCTACCGGACGTATCGCTGATCAAGTTAGAGGTGCATAAAACCATAGTATTATTCATTAAATTGAGGTAAAAATCACGAAATTTCGGCACACTCCTCGCCAATACCAATAGCTCTTCAATTTCTGCCATCTTTGCTTCACTTTTTGGTCCCGAGTTTTCGCTCCAGTTATTTATGGAGCTCACTGGATAACCCTAGTCTATAGTCTTAACTTTAATTCTAACTCTCACCTCCACTGTAAAGCTACGGATACACGGGCAATACTTTTCTGGCGATGGCAATGCAATGGTGGTAAAATCGTTGCATTGCCGTCGCGAGAAAGAAATTGCTTGTGTATCATGCTCTGCGACGGCAACGCAAAGCTGCGCGCAATCGTTGCCGAAATTT